CATGAATGAATGGTTTGATGAATGGCAATGTTGAGGGCAATAATCTCATGAACAGGATTTCATACATATAAGATTGACCGAAGTTTCAAACGATAACTTGTGTAAAGGAAATGTCAATGTGGGGGTTTTTTGTATTTGAATTACGTACTTAGTACAAGTTCATTGTCAACTGATTAAAATATGTAGTTGAAATTCAAATATAAAGCCATAATTAAATGGTGAAAGTGTTTTTCAATTATAAAAAGCTTAATGTAAAGTAAAGGCAGAAAGGCTATTAAGTAGTTGAGCAGTGGACTGGCAGAAGTATTATGCATATCGGAAGATATACGTATTGTATGTGACGTTCGTACGCCTTCAGAGTGGTATAGATTTGGTAAAAATGGGAGTACTTGGAAAACAATATTGACATTCTGCTCCATTCTATATTTGCAAACAGAAACATTCCATTCGGAATCTTGTTTTCCAAAATATGGCGATATCATACGTGACGACTAAACGGATATGTTTTTAAAGTACATGTAAATATTTACGAAAATCTGCGAATTCTGTAGGTGTATCTTTTTTGTTTTAATTTCTTACACTATGGGACATATTTTTCATTCGTAATCCATAACTTTTAAATAAGAAACAAAAAATTAATATAATTTTATAATGAACATTTTTGAATATCGTTCCTGACACATTGTATGTGTCAGATTTTTCTCCAGAATTTTTTTTAGGTTATAAAATAAATATTTTAGAAATATATGCACACACACATCTCAACAAATAAAGAGGAGTAGGAAAGTGCAGTCGGACATGGCCGACTTATAAACATGTTTAAGCAATTTATAGATAAAATTAAGAAAACAAAAGTTATATGGCGACCAGATATGGACCGATCCTCATAAAATTTTGGGGTTATAATTTTATTCATATAAAACTTATTTGTGCCAAATTTTATTATAATACTAGTGTTTATAAGTGAGTTACGGACGTTTAAGTGTTTTTCTGAAATTAAACCTTGAATGGAACTAGGGTCAAATGAGGTCCAATCGTTATGAAAATCGCCATTATGGCCTAGGCTTATATACATTACAGATCTGCCGATTTGGAAGGAGTAGTATTATAATTAACAGACTCTAGACTAGACTAGATTATAGAGTAGACTATAGGCCAGACTATAGACTGAACTATAGGCCAGACTATTAGCTAGACAATAGACTATAATACAGACTAGACTATAGACTCAACTATAGGCTAGACTACAGACTAGGCTACAGACCAGACTACAGATGATACTATAGAATAGACTACAGACTTTACAATATACTATACTATAGACTAGACTATAGTCTGCACTATAGATTAGACTATTTACTAGAATATAGACTAGACTAGACTATATACTGAACTATATAATAGACTATAGGCTAGACTATAAACTGGACGATAGTTAGTTAGTTACAGACTGGACTATACGCTAGACTACAGACTAGGCTACAGACTAGACAACAGAATATACTATAGACTAGACTATAGACTGCACTATAGACTAGACTATATACTGGGCGTTAGTTAGTTAGATAGATAGATAGTTAGTTAGATAGTTAGTTAGTTAGTTAGGTAGTTAGTTAGTTAGTTAGTTAGTTAGTTAGTTAGTTAGTTAGTTAGTTAGTTAGTTAGATAGATAGATAGATAGTAGTTAGATAGTAGTTAGTTAGTTAGTTAGTTAGTTAGTTAGTTAGTTAGTTAGTTAGTTAGTTAGTTAGTTAGTAGTTAGTTAGTTAGTTAGTTGTTAGTTAGTAGTTAGTTAGTTAGTAGTTAGTTAGTTAGTAGTTAGTTAGTTAGTTAGTTAGTTAGTTAGTTAGTTAGTAGTTAGTAGTTAGTTAGTTAGTTAGTTAGTTAGTTCGTTAGTTAGTTAGTTAGTTAGTTACAGACTGGACTATACGCTAGTTCGTTAGTAGTTATTTAGTTAGTAGTTAGTTAGTTAGTTAGTTAGTTAGTTAGTTAGTTAGTTAGTTAGTTAGTTAGTTACAGGACTATACGCTAGTTAGTTAGTTAGAGTTAGTTAGTTAGTAAGTTAGTTAGTAGTTAGTTAGTTAGTTAGTAGTTAGTTAGTTAGTTAGTTAGTTAGTTAGTTAGTTAGTTAGTTAGTTAGTTAGTTAGTTAGTTAGTTAGTTAGTTAGTTAGTTAGTTAGTTAGTAGTTAGTTAGTTAGTAGTTAGTTAGTAGTTAGTTAGTTAGTTAGTAGTTAGTTAGTTAGTTAGTTAGTAGTTAGTTAGTTAGTTAGTAGTTAGTTAGTTAGTTAGTTAGTAGTTAGTTAGTTAGTAGTTAGTTAGTTAGTAGTTAGTTAGTTAGTTAGTAGTTAGTTAGTTAGTTAGTTAGTAGTTAGTTAGTTAGTAGTTAGTTAGTTAGTTAGTAGTTAGTTAGTTAGTTAGTAGTAGTTAGTTAGTTAGTTAGTAGTAGTTAGTTAGTTAGTTAGTTAGTTTAGTTAGTGTTAGTAGTTAGTTAGTTAGTTAGTTAGTTAGTTAGTTAGTAGTTAGTAGTAGTTAGTTAGTTAGTAGTAGTTAGTTAGTTAGTTAGTAGTTAGTTAGTTAGTTAGTTAGTTAGTTAGTTAGTTAGTTAGTTAGTTAGTTAGTTAGTTAGTTAGTTAGTTAGTTAGTAGTTAGTTAGTTAGTTAGTTAGTTAGTTAGTTAGTTAGTAGTTAGTTAGTTAGTTAGTTAGTTAGTTAGTAGTTAGTTAGTTAGTTAGTAGTTAGTTAGTTAGTAGTTAGTTAGTTAGTTAGTTAGTTAGTTAGTTAGTTAGTTAGTTAGTAGTTAGTAGTTAGTTAGTTAGTTAGTTAGTTAGTTAGTTAGTTAGTTAGTTAGTTAGTTAGTTAGTTAGTTAGTTAGTTAGTTAGTTAGTAGTAGTTAGTTAGTTAGTTAGTTAGTTAGTTAGTAGTTAGTAGTTAGTTAGTTAGTAGTAGTTAGTTAGTTAGTTAGTTAGTTAGTTAGTTAGTTAGTTAGTTAGTTAGTTAGTTAGTTAGTTAGTTAGTTAGTTAGTTAGTTAGTTAGTTAGTTAGTTAGTTAGTTAGTTAGTTAGTTAGTTAGTTAGTTAGTTAGTTAGTTAGTTAGTTAGTTAGTTAGTTAGTTAGTTAGTTAGTTAGTTAGTTAGTTAGTTAGTTAGTTAGTTAGTTAGTTAGTTAGTTAGTTAGTTAGTTAGTTAGTTAGTTAGTAGTTAGTTAGTTAGTTAGTTAGTTAGTTAGTTAGTTAGTTAGTTAGTTAGTTAGTTAGTTAGTTAGTTAGTTAGTTAGTTAGTTAGTTAGTTAGTTAGTTAGTTAGTTAGTTAGTTAGTTAGTTAGTTAGTTAGTTAGTTAGTTAGTTAGTTAGTTAGTTAGTTAGTTAGTAGTTAGTTAGTTAGTTAGTTAGTTAGTTAGTTAGTTAGTTAGTTAGTTAGTTAGTTAGTTAGTTAGTTAGTTAGTTAGTTAGTTAGTTAGTAGTTAGTTAGTTAGTTAGTTAGTTAGTTAGTTAGTTAGTTAGTTAGTTAGTTAGTTAGTTAGTTAGTTAGTTAGTTAGTTAGTTAGTTAGTTAGTAGTTAGTTAGTTAGTTAGTTAGTTAGTTAGTTAGTTAGTTAGTTAGTAGTTAGTTAGTTAGTTAGTTAGTTAGTTAGTTAGTTAGTTAGTTAGTTAGTTAGTTAGTTAGTTAGTTAGTTAGTTAGTTAGTTAGTTAGTTAGTTAGTTAGTTAGTTAGTTAGTTAGTTAGTTAGTAGTTAGTTAGTTAGTTAGTTAGTTAGTTAGTTAGTTAGTTAGTTAGTTAGTTAGTTAGTTTTTCCATTTATCTAACATATTAGACTTCTGCCAATATTTGTAAAACATATCTTTACAGCTTAACGCCAACCAAAGTCTTTCCCTTCAAATTGACTTCTGTTACACACCAGCCAAAACAAAACGCAAATCCAATGTTCTACAGGTAGTTTTTGTAATTAGTACTAATCGCGGTCATAAAGTGATTATCTTACAAAAACCAATACACTTACTACTTTACGTTAAATCCCAAATGTTTCGACAACAAGTGTTTTGAAAATCACCCCAAAATTTCACACACACATTCTCTCACTCAATCACTCACCTGTAAACATGATTCTCAGGTAGAATTAGTGACAATTCTAATTGCAAAATTTATTGCTTCTCTAAATCTATTGTCTATATCATCGGTTATTTCCAACGAAATTCATTGTAGTTTTTCTTTTATTGCGCACTATCATTTCAGCTTTTCTTGCTTACAGATCAATAAAAACAACAAGATCAATTTCAACAATTAACACAGTGTGACGATACTTGATTTTGTGCTCGAAACTTGTGACTCTTTTTCCTCTCATTTTTTTGTATACGTACTATTTTTCTTAAGATTTTCTTTTTGGTTAACAACCTGTCGTCTTGAAAACATTGCAACACAAACACACACTTTTTTTAAACATAAAATACACAACAACATTAAGGAAAATCTATAACACAACAACAACTTTAAAGTGAGTGACATATACACGAACTTTTTTCTTTCAAATTGTTGTAATTATATGATCACGAGCCAAAGTCACACAGCTACTCATAAAAAAAAACGATTTTTTGTTGTTATTATTGATACTCAAATACGTTTGAGTGAGTGTTTGTCTGTCTGGTTGGTACAAAAACAAAGAATACAAAATAATACTCATACGTACAAATGCACTTGTTGTTTTATGAAGTCAAGTGATTATTGTTTTTATATCGATTTGTAATTGTTGCTATTTCCATTGTCTAGATCTGTAGCAGTCATGTTAAATGAGCAGCAGATTTTGTAAAGGTAAGCAAGATACTTTATGGAGTTGAGAAATAGTACTATTATGAAGTACTTGAGCGTTGGGCCAAAGTTACAAAAATAAAGTACTTTTTAAGGGGGAATTATTGGCACCATTATTGGAGATATGTATGTCAATGTTGTTGTTGATTTAAAATGTTATTTTCAACTTTCTAATATTCTTTCTCTTTCTGTTTCTTTTTAGCTTTAATAACAACAACAAATACTTATGTATATATGAGAGCTGTTTTGGTACTTTTTGAACACACAAAAAAGTACTTTGCTAACTTTTAAATTGTACATTCCAACACAGGTGTCTGTATAAACACTACAACAGGTGGTTAAATAAAAATTAAATGGACAAAAGATGGATAAAAATTAAATAAAATTGCTTTTTGTTCTTGTTGTTATTTTTATTGATTGCGGTGTGCGTGTGCGAATGAGTGTAAACGTTGTGTGCTTGAGTAGCTGAGAGTTGAGTTGTATTTAAAAGAAAATAGTACAAGAAGAAAACAAAACAAAAACAAACACAAAACAAATTGTTAAAAGTAAAAGAAACACAAAAAGAAAGAAAGGTGGCAGCAGGCAGGAAGGCGCACAAAGGCATGTGATGCAGCCGAGACAGAAGCAGGTCTAGGCATGTTCAATGCTTTGTTAGAGTGTGTGTGTAAAGTGTAAACAAAAACAAAACAACGTCACTGGTGAGATCTAGGGAATACGAAACGATCGTAACGAACGTAATGAACTAAACGAACAAAGATGAAACAGCAGCAAAACCAGCAACAACTACAACAGCAACACAATTCTGCTACCGAGAGAAGTTTGGACAAAAAAACCAAATGAATTTTAAACTCTAGTTTACAAAAAAAAGTATTTAATCTAACAAGAGATTTCAAAATAACAACAACAGAGAACCAAGGAGCGGATAAAAAAATCATGAAAATTAAAATTATTACACTCTGAGAAATTTTCGTATTAAAAATCAATAAAGAGAAAAAAAAATTTAAATATTTAACGTTTAACTAAATAAAAAAACTCTTAAACAAATATTTAAGAGTTTCAGACAAGCTTGATAAATTTATTAAGGGGCTGCTGGATTTTGAAAGCCAAAGAAGAAAGTGTTAATTGTTTAAATAAAAATTTAAAAAAATATCTATCGCACCAACGCGTTTTATAAAAATAATAAATAAATAAAAAAGCAAATAAAACAAAATGTTGTTATTTAAAGATCAATGATCAGTATTTATTTAAAATTGATCATTTAGCAAAACAACAACAATAACAAAATTGTGTTAAAATACAGAAGCGCGTGCTATAAATTAAACAAAAAATTAAATAAATAAATAAATAAATAAATAAATAAGAAAAAAAGCGAAATATCAAGAAAAAAAGAGATCAGTGACATTTGAAATGTAGAATACCTATAAGCAAATCAAATGAAACATATAGTAGTGCCTCAAAAATCATACAAATTCATAGTATATGCAACACCACCACTACCACCACCTGCTGTAATCAAACAAACAACAACTGATCACTAGACGAGCAGCAACAATTAAATTAAAAAACAAATTGTTTTAGTGCAAAAAAAAAAAAAAGATTCAAATCACAACAACTGACAGATTCTTTCAACATCAAAAAAAAAAAACAACAACTACAATAATAACAAAAATGTCTCAGCATTGAAATCTATTTAATAGATCAATCAAATTCCCCCCAAAAATTAACGTTTAACAAAATAAATTCTATTTAAATCATTTACAAATGAATCATTTGCTATAAATTCTCAACAAAAACAACAACAAACATGAGTTTTTAGAAAAAATTTAAAAAATTTTTATTAAAAAAAACAAGTGAATAAATTGTTAATATTCTTTTTTTTTGCCTGTTAAAAAAAATTAAATTTTTTTGAGCAAAATGTGGCTGCTTATGAAAATAAATTAGTTTGCTTCTAAAAACAAGAGGAAGTGTTTAAAGATTTTTAACGGATTACGGAAACGGAACTTGTTGAAGAGGTGAGTTTTGAATTGTTTAAATTTTTGTTAAAAGTTAGAAACCCCAAACAATATGAAAATTACAAAGTCGGATTTAAGGATACAATGACCTGTCAAAAGACTCGACCATAGTTAAGAAAAAAGATGCGTCTAAAGACTAGTCCATAGACCAGTCCAGACTTAAAAATAGACTAATCAATAGACCAGTATATAGAGTAGACTACAGACTATTGCAGATACTACTCAATAGACTACTCATTGACCAGTCAGTAAACTAATGGATAAACTAGTCTATAAAATATTCCATAGAATAGTCCGTACACTAGTCCAGAGACTGAACAATAAAGTAGTACACAGACTAAACTAATCCATAGAGTAGTCAATAGACCAGTCAGTAGAATAGTAGTCCATAGACTAGTCACTGGACTTATCAATAGATTAGTCCACACACTAGTAAATCGACTAATCAATAGACTAGTCTATTGACTAGTCCAGAGACTACTACAAAGACACACAATAGTCTATAGACTAATCCATTAACTAGGCAATAGCCTAGTCCATAGACTGTCAATAAACTAGTCAATAAACTATTCTATAGACTAGTGAAGTGACAACTCACTAGAGTAGTCCATAGACTTGTCCATACACTAGTCAATAAACTAATCCATACACTAGTCAATAGACTAGTCCATACACTAGTCAATAGACTAGTCCATACTCTAGTCAATAGACTATTCAATAGACTAGTCCATAGACTAGTTTAGAGACTATTCACTAAACTAGTCCATATATTAGTCAATAGACTAGTCCATAGACATGTCTATTTTCTAGTCTCTGGACTAGTGTATATAGTATGGAATAGTCTATGGACTAGCCTATTAACTAATAAATCGAACAGTATATTCTATTGAATAGTTTAGTCCATGAACTAGTTTATAGACTAGTTAAAAGATTAGTCATTAGACTAGTCCATAGACAAGTCAATAGACTAGTCCATAGACCAGTACATAGACTAGTCGATAGACTAGCCAATAGTCTAGTCAATAGACTAGTCAATAGAAAAATTCATAGACTAAACAATAGAAAAATTCATAGACTAGTCAATAGACAAGTCCATAGACTAGTCAATAGACTATTCCATAGACTAGTCAATAGACTATTCCATAGACTAGTCGATAGACCATTCCGTAGACTAGTCAGTAGACTAGTCCATAGACTAGTCCATAGGCTAGTCCATAGACTAGTCCATAGACTAGTCCATAGGCTAGTCCATAGGCTAGTCCATAGACTAGTCCATAGGCTAGTCCATAGACTAGTCCATAGGCTAGTCCATAGACTAGTCCATAGGCTAGTCCATAGACTAGTCCATAGGCTAGTCCATAGACTAGTCCATAGGCTAGTCCATAGACTAGTCCATAGGCTAGTCCATAGACTAGTCCATAGGCTAGTCCATAGGCTAGTCCATAGACTAGTCAGTAGACTAGTCAATAAACTAGGCCATAGACTAGTCAAAAGATTGATCCGTAAGCTTTTTAATAGACTAGTCCATAGGCTAGTCCATAGACTGGTCCATAGGCTAGTCCATAGACTAGTCCATAGGCTAGTCCATAGACTAGTCAATAAACTAGTCCATAGACTAGTCAATAAACTAGTCCATAAACTAGTCAAAAGTGTAGTCCGTAAACTTGTTAATAGGCTAGTTCATAGACTAGTCAGTAGACTAATCAACAGACTAGTCCATAGACTAGGCAATAGACTAGTCAATACACTAGTCAATAGATTAGTCAAGAAGCCAGTCAATAGACTATTCTATATAAATAAACTAGACCATAGACTAGTCAGAAGATTGGTCCGTAAGCTTGTTAATAGACTAGTCCATAGAGTAGTCCATAGACTAGTCCATAGAGTAGTCCATAGAGTAGTCCATAGGCTAGTCCATAGACTAGTCCATAGAGTAGTCCATAGACTAGTCCATAGACTAGTCCATAGAGTAGTCCATAGACTAGGCCATAGAGTAGTCCATCGACTAGGCCATAGAGTAGTCCATAGACTATGGACATATGCATCTAACTTTTATCAGCAACTAACTCCCCTCCTCCAAATATTGCATCCTAAACAGTTAGCACGTTTTACTACTACTCGCACTTGTATTAATTGTTATTGTGGTTATTAAAAAATTTTACTCACGTTACGTATTTTTTCATTCTATTTATAATATTTTTTTTTATTTGTATCTATTATTTTTCATTGCATTAATTAAAAATAAAAATATATTATACTACAACAATAACAAAAAGCAAAAAAACTATATAAATAAAATATGAAAATTAATATTATATTTATTTTTATAACTGGGTACTACTGCCTCTGTAAATGAAAATGCATTTTTAATTAATGTTTACAAGCAGATAAATTTCAGTGAAATTATAAATAAAAAATATTTAAACATTGTTTCGTTTTCATTTTCGTGGAAATTAAACAGTAACAAGAAAAAAACTAAAATAAATACTTAACAATAATAAAAAAAACAATACAAAACAATAGAGAAAAGGAAATTGTATGGAAAGTTTAACAATAGACAATAGATGTATCTGTGTCTAAACGGAATGCATTTATGGGAATACAATGTGTATTTAAATGTTACTAAATGATCATTTGTAATAATAATTTTGAAACAAATTATTTGAAAATTAATCGAAATATTGAAATGTTTCTTAAGATTTTGAATACAATTTAAAAGCCAATAATGTCTAGTAAATTTTAGATGGACAATTCTTCGTAACCTTAGGTTAAACGAAGAGAGTACAACAGATCAATATTAATATCTGGATCTAGCAGATCTCTTTCTTTATAAACTCTTTTTTCATTAAACCATTATATAGGGATCAGTGAAGGTATTATCGTGCGATGTTGAGATCCGAAATAATATCACTTCCCATACACTTTGATCTAATTTCAACGAAAGCCTGACAATGAAAGAGAAAGTGCTTCAGAGTTTTACTTTCAGAATCCTCACGTCTAATTGTGTATAGTTGTGCCCTTAGTCCTGTGTGAGTTGACCCAAAATATGTATCATTAAACGAACCTCAGCTATGCTCATATTTAAGGAGACTTCTCGTTCTCTTAAGCCTCTTTGTGGTTCTACTCATCGTTTCATTATTCCAAGAGGCCTTATGTAATTCTCTCGCCAATATTTTAAATTCAATCCCCCTTGAGTCTAATGGTTTTGCGTTCGACAGGTCAACTATTTCGAACTCTCTTCCTTTTTGAAGCAGGTACATTCGATCTTTCATTGACGAGTGTCCTGATACCCACATGATATAAAGCTTACCTCTGGAAATCCAATACAGTCTTAGATTTAATGTTATCAGCTGATGGCGTCATATTTATTCTAATCTGTTATTGCTCGGACTTTTGTCTGGCAGCTAGTGTTGTGATTAGGTAGACGGTAGTATATTTCTGTTTCTATGTCTTCAATATAGAACCACAGGGTCGTTTGTTCCCCAGTCATCCGTGTAGCAATGGATTCATCTGCTTTAATGTTCCGCTTGACCAAGACATTCTATCTGCGA